CTTGTACAGGCAGTGTTGACCGAGGGTCTTCAACTGATAAATATTAGTCCAACTCATTTGACTCCTTTCTGTCTTTAAATACTTGGTCATTAATTTCCCAACACAAATATTTCAAAGGGTTCAAGAAAAGTGAACAGGAAGAAATGTGTTCCTTTTGACCTTTGATTGGGATTTCTAGAAAACAGAGATCCTAGAAGAGACACACAATGAGAAGACAGCCTGTAGGAAGCACAAGACCGTTTCCATCTTCCCGTTAGCGCAGGTCAGAACCTCTGGAGTCAGGGTTGCCTCCCCTCCATGCTACAAGCCACACCTCATTGCCAGCACATTCAGTATCACAACACATTCACCATCTGCCCACACACTCTTGCCTAAACCACTGCTCTTGTCTCCTCATTGGTTTCCCTAGTTCCATCCTTGCCTCCTTCAGTCATTTCTTAGTATGACAGCCAAAATCACCCTGTTAAGACCTGGCATGTGTTATGTCACTCATCCTCTGACTAAAATTCTCCATTGAGGGTCACCAATGTAGCTTAGCATGTTAGGCCACAGCCTGTACCTCGCTTGTGTGCTGGTTCATAACCTGGTGGCTCTGCTTCCAATACAGCTCCCTGTTAATGGCCTAAGGAAACAATGGATTAGCCAAATGCTTGGGCCACTGCACCCGTGTGGGAGACCTGGAAAAAACTCCTGGTGCCTGGCTTCAGCCTGGCTCAGCCTTGGCCACTGTAGCCATTTGAAGAGTGAATTGGTGAATGACAGAGTCTGTCTTTCTTTCTTTTGACTTTTTTTTTTAAGATTTATTTATTTTTTATTGCAAAGTCAGATATACAGAGAGGAGGAGGGACAGAGAGGAAGATGTTCCATACAATGATTCACCCCCCAAGTGACCGCAACGGCCGGTGCTGTGCCAATCCAAAGCCAGGAACCAGGAAATTCCTCCAGGTCTCCCACATGGGTGCAGAGTCCCAAGGCTCTGGGCTGTTCTCGACTGCTTTCCCAGGCCACAAGAGGGCGCTGGATGGGAAGTGGAGCTGCCGGGATTAGAACCTGTGCCTATATGGGATCCTGGTTTATTCAAGGCAAGGACTTTAGCTGCTAGGCCACCATGCCGGGGCCTTTCATTCCACTTTTCTCTAAATCTGCCTTTCATATAAATAAGTCTTAACAGAAACATGTTCTTTTGGTTTCCTATTTTAGAAAAGAAAGACCAGGGTCTTTCCATTGACCTATGAGACATCACAAACTCGCACACAGTTGCTGTCATCTGACTTCACCTGCTCCTCATTCTCTCCCTCTGAGCGCAGCCACCCTGGCCTCTTTGCTCTTCCTCGAACATACAGGGATGCTTCATGCTTCAGGACTTTATACTTGCTGATCTCTCTGAACACAAATCCCAGATGTGGCCCTGTCTCTTACCTCCTCTTCCAGAGGTCTTACTGCACCATTATCTAAGCACTCTATTTGGCTATTCCTTCACTCTGTCAAAATTCCATGTTTCCCTTTCCTTCGTTTACAGGAACCTAAATGATCCACATTTGACTTTTTGCCGGGGAGGGGTTGTTTGGTTAAGATATTCCTAAACCCAGAACTGGTCTCAGAACAGCAGGTGCTTGGTAAATATTTTTAAATGAATGAATGATTCTCTCTATATTTGGCTGTCATACATTAAAAATTTGGTTATCTTCACCAAACTTTTTGGGCAGCTTGAAAGATGTCATCCTTCCCACACATGATTCACATACGGGACTCCTATTAGACCCATCCTTACTGTATCCAATGTAGGAACAACAATGTGCATTCTAAATCATACCTAGCAGGTATTTTAGATTGAATAAATATTTATGAATACCTCAATTTTATAAATAAATAGGAGCTTTTAAATGCAACTAAATGACTTCAGATCAAGGGAAGCTTGAGGGTTTCAAATTGCATTAATTTCACAAGTAAGAAAAACTTTAGAGAATTATTCATTAACTATTTTAAAATTATTTTTGTTTTCCATGATACCGTTTCATAGGTATAGGGAATTCTCCTGTTTTCTCCCCCTATTTTACTCTCCCACTATTTTCTCCCATATTATTACCATAGTATATTCCTTTAATAAGTGTTCCAAGTTTAACATTCTGCTATTTAAGTGTATCATAGCATTGTAAGTATAGACAAAGGTAGAAAACCTAGTATATATCATTGGGGTGTATTTTACTGCTTCACTGATTCGTGAATCTTTAAAGAGATCAATATATTTTTTTTAAATAAGAGCTAAGAAAATAAAGTAATGGCTATTGGGATGAATTGGGGCTGGAGAAGAGAAGAGTTGCTTATCCTCTTTGAGGGTTGTCATCTGGAAAATGTAGATAATGGTGGAGATTGTGTTACTGGATTGTGGTGAGCAGTATATGAAATACTCCACATACAGCGAGCACACTCACTTCCTGCACACAGAAACCAATGTGTTAATTTTGGTTACTACTTAGGACAGATGTAGGAAGTTGTTTCTTTGGCCTTTTACTTTTGCAATATAAAAGACCAAGTGATTCATGAGTTCAGTGGAAATCTACTGCAGGAGTACAGGGGACTGCCTGAAGATTGGCATGTTCTTGTGGGTGGAAATCTTTAAAATCAGACTGCCCTAAATCCACAGACTGAATGTTGCAAGTGTGATATGAACTGTACCATCTGCCAGATGCCACAGTTGGCTTGCTGATTTGAGTTGTCCTCACTCAGCACAAGGGTGTGTACACTGGTGTATAAGTATGTACACCTGCTTAAGAAGATCACCACAGCTCTGTTGGCCTTCCCCAACAAACTGGAAAAGTAGGGATTTGGAAAACTTGAGGAAATAAATACTGGATATTATTTCTTCTTAGCAGAGAAAACTAAAAATAGCAACAGGATTGTGAAAATTTTTCAAAAGAGGTGAAAGAAACTGGAATACATAAAAGAAAGGCTGTAGCAAAGTGAACATAGGTGTTTTCTGTGTTAGCGTGATTATAACGTAAAGGTATAGGAGGTAAGTCTCATTCTATGTAAAGAAGTTCCTCCGAATGGGAGCCCAAGGACCACCTAAGATGCCCTGGAAACTAGTGAGCGTCTGTCTCCAAGCAGGGCCTCTGGGCAGTCTGAGGTGGTACCTCTTTGAAACTATCAAAAGTAATCAGAGAAATTCCTTGTAATTAATGAATAGGAAAAAATATTTTCCATTCCATTTTAGCCTATATTTCATTTTATTTTTAAAAACATCTATTTATTTTAGAAGCAGAAATGTCAATGGCTGGCTCACTCGCCCCAAATGTTTGCAGCAATCAGACTGGGAGCAGCTGAAGCCAGGAGCCAGGAATCCACTCATCTACTTGGGCACCATGGACCCAACTTCCCAGCTATCTACCATCTCTCAGCACGTGCATTAGCAGCAAGCTGGCATTGAGACGAGGGGATGTGGGCATTCTAACCACCTTTTAAACTGCTAGACCACATACCCATTCCTATTTCAGTTAAAAAAGACAAGAGCTTAATGCTCTACTAAAAAATGATATGTTAACAGAATACTGAGACTGAAGGTTTAACCAAAGCCCTGGGAAATAACACTTTGCACATTGGAGAGAGGTTCCAGACAAGATATTTTACAAAGAAAATGACCGCAAGCCACTTAGTTAATTCTTGATCCTCTCGGTCAGATCCAGGTGACTAAAGGGAGCCTGTGTATGTTGAGGACAGAGGATGCTATGAGAATCCTGTGGTACTGTACGTGTGTGTTGGGAGCAGTTGGGGTGGGGTCTCTATCTCTGTACCTCAAGACTTGTTTGAGAATCAAGGTGGTTTCTTAGATTTCTTATATGAAAGGCCTGCGTGAAGATGGGTGCTGAGGTCAGAGTAGGCTAGGATCTGATGTCCTGGCAGGAAAGCTGGAGGGTGAGGCACAGGCTAGTAAACTCATATGGAAACAAAACAAAACAACACACACACACACACACACACACACACACACACGAAATGTATTGTCATGTCTTCATAGGAATATGAGAGTAGTGGTACCCATGGGCCAGTACAGACTAGCAGCAAAGGAGGGAGGGATGCAATCATTTTGAGGTCTCTCACGGGGGGACAAATGAACCCTAGTAGCTCCATGCTGTAAATAGCTGCGACTGCTTCTTCTTCTTTTTCTTCTTCTTTTCTCTAAGATTTACTTTCATTGGAAAGGTAGGTTTATAGAGAGAAGGAGAGACAAAGAGAAAGATCTTCCATCTGGGAGTTCACTCCCCAGGTGGCTGCAATGGCCAGAGTTGAGATGATCCAAAGCCAGGTGTCAGAAGCGTCCTCCAGGTCTCTCACACAGGTGCAGGGTCCCAAGGCTTTGGGCCATTCTCTACTGCTTTCCAAGGCCACAAGCAGAGAGCTGGATGGGAAGTGGAGCAGCCTTCACACAAACTGATGCCCATATGGGATCCTGGCATGTACAAGGCAAAGATTTAGCCACTTAGCCATGGTGATGTGCCCTGTAAATAGCTTCTTCAGGCAGTACAGGCAAAACAAGTCACCCCCTGAAACAGAGGCAAATTTGGATGGCTCAAAGTCTGCAAGTAAAATGTCCCCAGAGGTAGGACTCTTTCAATAATTCATGAAAGTATTCCTTTCTGAGTCTGCCTAGTCCTAAGAGTGAGAAGCCTTCTTCTTTCTGCTCCTGTGTTTCTCCATTCTTGCCTCTCACCTCCAGGGTGCTTGAAGACAGAGGTGGCAAAGAGAGGGGATCTCATGTGACACTGAAGTTGGAGTTTGTGACTCTAGGAGATAAAAATGTCTCTTTCCAAATAAGACTAGTTTGGAAAACTTAAAGCTAACCAAGAACTACTCTAAGAGTTTAACAGAATGTCACAGGACCTGCTGCATTTTTATTCAGTGTCAGTGACTTTTTTTTTTTTTTGCTGTTGTTGTTGTTGTTGCTGCTAAATACAATTTAAATGGTGGTAGGGGACAAAAGAAAGAAGCAACTGGATGAACTGTTATGAGTAAAGCCAATTTAGCATTCCGGTAACAGTTAGGTGCTCTGGTACACAGCATTTACAATCCTCAGATAATAATTCAGTTCACAGTAGAAGTGACAACATCAGACATTCAAATTCCAAAACAGAAGGAACATTGCTGTTATTTTCAGATCCCTTTGGTCATCGTTGGCTTGGAGTCCATCTGATGGCTTCCTTCGGTCAGCCAGCCAGCTAGAGAATGACCTGCACCTTGGGGCAGAGATGGACAAGAGGAAATGACATCAGAGAATGAGATGTGAACTTTTGCTGACATGCATGAAGATTAGGGTTCAGACAGAGACCAGAGACCTGCAATATTTTGGGCATGCACAGAAATAATATGTGTCGAAAGGATGATTTATTTATATCGTGATTGGTTGTCATTTAGGATAACTGATCATTTTCTTCTCCATGCTGAATCCTGTGAGGAATGTGTTCAGCAGTCCACACGAGACATGGGGGAGCAGTGGTCACTGTTCGTTGAACTGATCGCTTTTTCTTCCTCACAGCCAGTATGGCTGCCATTTCTGTCATAGCCAGACTCTACATGGGATCTTGTTCATTTCTCTTTGGAAATCTTTGACTTACTTTATCAAATCCTGCTTCACAGTTTCAATCTTTTTCTGACATGTTTCATTGACATTTATATCGCAGCTGGGAAAAGAAACACCTCTGATCGCTCACCATAGTTTTAAATTTTCTTATTTTGGCTATATTTCAATTCTGAAGATTCACAAACAATGTGGGTGTCAGGGAGAAAGAGCAAAAAATAAATTTCTGTCATTCATCTGGCATTTTGAACATCTTATCACTGCATTCGCATAGTACTTAATACTTCCAAGTTTATTGATAACTATTTCTGTTTCATTTATTAGCCTTGCTAATGTCTGTCTGATTTTTCTGTAGAGCCTTCAATCTCTATCTATTGCTACACTCTCAACTCCATATTGTTTTAAAGACTGTTTTCTGACAAGATTCAGTGGAATCAGAAAACTGTCCCAGAGACTCTAGAAAAATATTGATCTCACTCTTCCACAGACAGGCATAAAAGGGGTATACAGATGTATAATGTGGGAAATAGTTCAATTAATATTACTCAGAAGTTAGAAAGTTCTCTGCCTTTTCTTGTCAAAGTGGGTGAAGAGACTTCCTGAACATGGCCCTCTAAGCTTGATTATGCTGTCACTGTGGAGCTGACCCAAGCCTGGATTATGTGCTTTTGGAAGGCAAGAACTTCATTCTCTTTGTATCTTTAGCTCATAGAAAAGTGCCTGGAAACATTAGGTATTTAGTGCAATTTTCTTTAATGAGTTTTTTTTAAGGCAATACTTACATACTATGGAATAGAAACCAAGTCCTGAAATAAAGGTTGGCTAAGAGTCTAGACGCCGTTTCCACCAATACTATAGTGAAGAGGATTTATGACTAGCTCTGGATAAGAATAGAGACATTAACTAAAGCAAATTTCTGCTAGGACTCCATCATTATTCATAAAGTTTTACTGATTAAAAAGACAGAACTCAGATCTATTATATTTAAACCCACTCTCCTTTTTTTTTTTTCTTCTGTAAACCAAGAATGAACCATTCACCTTCTTTTTGCCTAATGGGGAAAAGCTGAATCTCGGGTATTTTGTTCAAGTCCAGGTGTTGCTATTCACTTGAAAGTTGAGAACCTGATTAAGCTAACACAACTGAAACTGTTTATGAAATCTGAACACAATTTTGAAGCAGGGCAATACCTTTTGTTCAAGAAACACAATGTTTTGATACTTGCAGAATTGACTCATTTCCCCCAGGTGTGCCCTTGCCACTTTTTGGCAGTTTGTTTAAGAAACCAATGCACAACTAAGAATGTAGAAGGAAGTTATGTGGATAGCCAGAAATCAGGGTCCTGGGAAATGTGTAAGTCATAATGGGAGAGAACATTAGAACTCTCAGTAAGCTATATTGTAATATATTAGTCAAGCAGAACAGCTAGCATTCATACAGGAGTACTGAAGGCACACTGGCTCTCAAAGAAACAGGAACATAATGCAGGAAAAGGAAGCTAAACAAATAAAATGAGAGATTTCCTCAGAGATGTGAGCAATGTGTCATGGTGAGCAAATCCAAATTGCTGTGATCTGCACCATAAAAGGAGATTCGGAGAGGACAAAGGCCAACCACTCTAGAAGTCTTGTTCTTGGCAGGTCTTGTTTTTATTTATAATATTGAGTGGAGCAAATTGAAATAGATTTAAGGTTGCTTGGAAAAAGTAAATGACACAGTAGCTTATGATGTGTTTCTAATGTTATTAACTTGCTTTATTTGTTTTGTACCAGGAGAATAGAACTAGAATGAGGGTGGGATGTGGGTATAGGTATGACTGTATGGGGCACACAGAAACCAAGCTGTTCCCCATTGATGACAGGGCTCCTGCCATGGGAAATCATGCCTCAGAAAGATGGCAGCAATCAGTGCTACTGGTTCAGTGGTGAGAGCAACTTAGGAAGGCAAGTAAGGAAAAGGAGTCAAATGGCAGAACAGAAGTAATAAGATACAAAACAGAGATCTCCTATGCTGGCTTGAAGATTAAGCATTGTGAGGTTTGATTCTTGCAGTGGGTGGTAACTATACTTGTATACTTGGTGATCATTATCAGCACATGTGATGAATGAGCTATTTTCATATGTTCATTGTAGGAGTTTGGGCGTTCCCTCTCTGTTCCTGGACAACCAATGCATCCCATCATTTCTACAGCACCTCCATGGGGACACCAAGCTGCCTATAATTATTCTAGCAAGTCCACTAGTGGGCTAGAGAAAGCAACCAAGAGACCAACCCCCTGGGAAGCAGCAGCCAAGTCTCCCCTTGGTCTAGTGGATGAAGCCTTTGGACCCAGAAGCATCCAGGAATCCATTGTGGCAAATGTGGTCTCAGCAGCGCGGAGGAAGATGCTTCCAGGGCCCCCACAGGATTGGAAGGAGAAACTGTCCTGTGGTCCTCAAACCCAGAAGGGCAACAGCGGCTCATTTAGAAAGCAAGAATATAATGTCACAGCCTTAGCAAATAATAATAGTCTATCCAGCAGTTCCCAATATGGTTTCCAGCTGCCATATGGGTATCATAGGCCAACCTCCAGAAATGATTCTGAAATAATGTCCCTGGAGACTAGGTCCGAGTACTGTCTTCCAGTAGCTGATTACAACTATAACCCACACCCAAGAGGATGGAGACGCCAAACATGAAAGATATGAGATCTGATGATGTACACACAATGATTCTTCTTGATGCTCCTTTGTAGGGTTTTTGATGTTTCTGGTAGCTTTGCTTCACTTTTGGTATCTTCTTGTTCTTATAGGTTATTGATCTGAGTTTGTGTGTGTTTATATGATATGCATAGGTGATTGAATAATTTCCTCTTCTGCTGATACACAAGAGAATTTCTCTGAAGAAAAAATGTCATTTTCTGCTTTGACATGCTGACACTTAAATGTAACTCATAATACTAATGACGTTTATATGGAGTAGTCTAATCAATTGAACTCTATTCAATCAAAATGAAACTAAGCATTTTCTTATATGTCACTTAGTCCAGGAAGGAATGAATGGAATATGGTATGCTCATTTTCAAAAGCTGTAGTAACAATGAGAAAATTTCAATGGAAACATGCTATAATGAGTAAGGATTATGAAAAAGGAACTTCTTCAGTGTTATTTCAAGCATTTTTCTGAAACACATTTTATGTCTAATGAGATTCAGATTTTCTTAAGAATTGAAATATAGGAGTTCTCAGAAAAAATAAATATAAATAAATATAATTATTAGATATTTGAAGGATTTGGGGAGTAAATTATGTAATGTGTGTAGAAGTGAAATAAATATAAGATTTATTTCTTCTAACCTATTTTAGAGCCAGCAGCCCAATATAGAAATACAATACGAGTTTGGGTATTCCATTTTGTCACATGAGAAGATTGGATGATCAAATCTCTTATGAACTCTGATATTCTGGGATGCTCTTGTTAGTAAAATGACCTTTGTTGCATTGTTCATGTTTTGTTATTTGTCATAAACCTAGTAGGTTAAGTGCGTCCCTACCTGTACTATCAGAGGTCCCAGAATGATTGCCAGACAGCAGGTTTTGTGTTATGTGTTACATGGAGGGAGAGTTAATGTGAAAAAAAATCTGCTAATGGATTTAAGGTAATGATAGATGAATATGCCTGTTACTATGCAAGTGTAGGTCATGGTCATTTATGTGATTATAGAGAGCATGCCAAAGAAACATGTGCACTTTGCAGTGCTTCTCTAGACAGTTGCAAGTGGGATGTTCAAAGAAAGTTAATCAGCAATTTTCTGACCCATGGCTCCTTACCACGATCATAAACAATCACTTCAAATAACCACTGCTTACTACTCTACCCACAAAGCAATAGAGGACATTCAAAATATTTTAGGTATCTAGCATATTTTTAAATATAATATCTTGAGTCTTCAAAATTTGTTCAGGTTTTCAAATGTGATAATTTTGTGTTGTTTTACTTTGTTGACTCTTGAATTTACCATGTTCTCTTTCACAGAATAAAAAAATTCCATAGTGTAAGTATTCCTTTACTTTCAAAGAAAGGTTTTTTTTTTTTTTAAATAGGTATGTTTAGTAGTAGAACCAGAAAAACATTAATTAGTTCAGTTATATTATCTTAAATTGATATGGTGCTAATTCTGTCAAAGAATAAGATATGATTATTGACTCCCTCAAATTTCCATGAAATCTTAAAAAATAATACCTGATATGTGGATCAGGCCATCAACAAATTCCCAAGAATCCTTCACATAAAATCCTTACTTTGTTCAAAATGTATTGAATCATTCCATATTTGAGAGATTTTTAAGACACGGAAAATTTACTGGAAAAGGTTTTGCTTATTACCATATTCCATTTTATTTCTTTCTCTTACAAGTGTTAGTTATTTCTATCGGTTGGTACACACTATACTTGTCTTGTTCACTAAAAGTTTCATTAGACTCAAAAGAGAGAGAAGCAGATATTATAAAGTTAAATATTATTATAGAAAACTCTTCCTTTGTGCAAATTAGATCAAAAGTGTTTGTATGATCTGAATCAATTCTGTACATCAAAAAATAACATGTGGCAGGAAAGGTGTGCATTTTTCATTCACAAGGAAATGAACTTCCCGTATTTTATTATAAATGAGTGTTTCAAGAAGTCACACTTTGCAGAAGATAATTCTGAATAGCAAAATTTCCACTGTCAAATCAACTCGAAGTGTAAGTATTTTTCTCCATTCTCCTTGAAAATGGACAAAGTTAGATCTCTTGTGCCCAAGCCAATGGATGCAATGGGGCATCTAACACACTGAGATCTGATTCCTACTGATGAGAAAAACTAAATGCTGCTGTTCTCACACAAAGCAAAATAAACTGGTCTGCCTTCTTAATAATACCAAGAAGAGCTGCTGCTTTATAAATAGAGAACATTTTTCTCTTAGTAGCAATCACATGGGTAGAAGGAGCTCATTCTTTATTGTAGATTTTAAAAAACTCTCAGTAAAAATAAAGGGTATTAGTCATAGTCATAGAGGTATTAACTTGGCACTTTTCCTCCATCTTGAGTTTATCCTTGCATGTGTGTGTCCATTATTAAGATGACTTTAAATTTGTCCTGTAGTTTGAATTTTATTAATGCACAGATTCAAGTCCACTTATTTCTGAATGTCTCTCACATTTCGGCACTGTCATGCACATTGGAAAGAATTACCCTAACAGGGCTTCTGTATATACACATATAAATGATTTGAGATTCAAATGTATCGGATGGCTTAGTTATAGTAGCTGGAGAGGAACTATGGGAATGTTTGTTTTTAAAAAGAAAGTAGAATTTCACACTTGACTTCTATAAAGTGGAAGTTACTCCACTGCCTCCACTTTTTTACCTGGAGGTATATTATGTTCTCCCGACTATTAAATGGTTATTTTCACCTCTGTTTATCCAGACTGTATTTCAAGGAAACCTGCTGAACACCAAAATTACACTGGGAAAAATTGTAACTCAAATATCAAGTCAGGGAACTTTTCATTTCTCCGTATTGAAACATTTCTGGCAATTGTTCTTTACCCCAAAGAAAATTCACTGTTATTTACTAGATAATTTTAAATTTTATTTCCCCATAATAGCTTCCAGATACATCGAAAGAATTTCATGCTGGGTTGCACCCTTTTAACTGTTGTTAAAAGTAGCATGGTAGGGGAGAGTTTATTAGGGATCATTACAATTGGTGTAGGACCACAACAACAGGGTTTTGTAACAGGGGAGACAGACTGGACTTAATTCTGAACAAAACATAAGCAAGGAAAGATTTATAGCCAAGGAGCAGACTTTGTGGGGAGCCGGAAAACCACTAAGAGGAAACATCAGGATGGAGGATAGTTTGGCTAAAACAACCTGCCAGAGTTTCTGCTCAGTTGAAGTCAGGCTGACCAGCCTTAATGCATGGAGGTGATTGCAGTGTTGAAGGGTATGAGCAGCCTGCTCAGATGCAGAGGAAATGCAGATGTTGAGGGCAGGGAGGAGGCATTTTTGCTTAACTGACTTAGCAGAGTTGTTTGTTAAAACAAGACTTTGCATGGAAGTCCACAGATGGGCCTAGCAGTAGAATCAGAAGCCTGAGTAAATTTTGGCCAAGCAAAATTGTCACTTTCACATGTGAACATTTCTTTAAAAGCTTACCTGAAAAGTAGGATCAATTTAACATATAAAGTAACAAGTTTCAAATCCAAACTTAACAAATTTAACAAATTCTTTCCCTAACAGTATGTTGAAAATCAATCCTAGGTACAAGTAGGATGATGATAACAGGTGCTGGCAGAGTTGTTAGAACTGTGTTTAACCCTTGTTTTAGTCTTCCATACTTATTGTTTGGGTACTTCCCGTTTTTTGTCCCCATGAGGATGGCCTAGCTTATGCTCTGTAAACTGAAGTCCTCCCCATAATAAAGCATTTTGAAAGTAAAACATTTTAAAAATTACTTTGGATCTTTCATAGAATATTAGAGCCTGTCAATCAGAATGTGAAGTCCCTGGTTAACCAGAGTCACCTAACACAGCTTTTAAATACTTCTTGGGTTGTAAAAATCTAAATAAAATGTCTCTTTTTGGCATTCCAATAAGAAAAAAAATTCATTTTCAAATGGGCCAACTCTTGAAAAATGTACTTCAAGAATGAGAGATATTTTCAAGATTTAAATGAGTAATGACGTCATTAGCACTACACTGTCATAAGATACTATGGAAGAAGGCCTTTCACTCTGAGGAATCCTAGGGGTCAGTAACCAGTGACATTCACAACATGCTCAGATGCGTGTTGTCATCTCCACACGGAGCCAGCAGGCAGCCCTGAGGCGGGGAGAGGGCAGTTCCCTGGCAAGATGCCCAGGAAGAGAGCAGAGGCAAAGCCTTAGGACTTGCCAGTTTGTCCTTAATCGACACTCTAACAGGGGTGTTCAGAATGCCTGACACAATATTAGACTTTTCGTACTTACTAGAGCAGTATTTTTCACAAAAAGGCATCTTGGCATTTATAGTTGTATAAAACATGGCAGTTCCCCCTCTTTAATCACACCATCCTACACAAATCAAGTCACTTCATGAAAGAAGTGACTTAGAAATGTCATCAGAGCCAAAGCCGGCATGGTGGTACAGCAGGTGAAGCCATTGCCTGAGATGCTGGTATCCTGTAGGAATGAGATTTGAGTCCAAGCCAGCTGCTCCTCATATCCCTGGGAAAGCAGGAGTTGGGGGCTCACGGCCACTGCAAGCCTCCTAGGAGAGCCAGATCGATTGCTAGGTGCCCAGGTTTTTGGCTTCAGCCTGGCTTTGCTCTAGCTGGCTCAAGGCCTTTTAGGGGGTGAATTAGCAGAAGGGAGAAGCTCTGTCTCTCTCCGCTTTTCAAATAAACAGATACTTAAAAGAAATAAGAGGAAATGCATCAGTGTGCATCTTCCCCTGGAATGGGTTTCACTGTCTGTAAAGGAGTTAAGGTTTTTCTGTGGCGTTCCTTCCTTCTTGACTTCTCTATAACCTTTCATCAAATTCTCTTTGCTCCCACCCCACCTCCTCCACTTCTCCCTTAAGGAAAAAAAGGCTCAGCCCACCTCAACATTTCACAATCTGTATTTTTGCTCCTGAGGTTCTGAAAAGGCTTCAGGAAAGCAGGACCGCCTTGCCAGGATTGGAGTGTCAGGTTTGCTTTAAACCACCCAACACATTATAATGGATGATTGTAGGCAAAGGCCCAGGCTTACTTAAGCCCAGA